TGGTAGGCCTTTTCATCCCTGCCTGTGTGTCCCATAACAGGCCTTCCCATCTCCTCCTTGCTTGCAATGAGGATGAAGGACTCTGTCCTCTGGGGCCTTGTAGGAACCTCCAAGACTTAGTGAGTGCTTCCAAAGGACCTCCTGAAACCTTGCCCTAAACCTTCCCCTGTCACACTCCCTGCAACAGCCTGAAAGGACCCTCACAATGATTTTGAGGCCTTTCTTCTGTGGTCTTGAAACTTACTGCCAGACCTACCCAAAAGCCATCTGAATCTCAAAAGTCTCATTGCTAAAGTGGGTGATCTTAAGGTTTTCAGTTTGAATGTTTTGGAGGATATTTGTTTGCTTCTTTTATTTCTGAGTGTTTATTGTTTTGAGACAGGGTCTCAATATGTAGCTCTCGCTGTGTTGGAACTCACTCTGTAGATCATGCTGGCATCAAACTCACAGATATCCACCAGCCTCTGTCTCCTGGGTGCTGGAATTAAATGTGTACCACCATACCCGGCTTTAGTGTGATTCTTTATATGTGCACTAAGCCTTCATTGTCACCCTGCCTTCTGAGAATTTGTGGTGTGGTCTAAAGCCCATTGCCATAGAACAAAATCATTCCTGCCTGATTCCTACAGCACCTCTCTGCTTGCATTAATCTGTTATCTAACTGGGCAAAGGCAGAGCAGTAAGGAGACACAGTAGTTACTGCATTTCCCATTGCTCTTTAGATGTCCTTTTACACCTCGAGTCACTTTTAGACCTACTTTACCCTACTTATTGTCTTCTGTTAAAATGTCTGTCCTTTTCTGCTACCATCTCACACCAATTACTTTCAGAAAATTGTGTTTAAAATGCCAAGTAATGCTTGCCCTGCTGCGACAGATCACAGGGACCTGCCTCTTCCTCCAGCCCTGGGATATTAAGCTCCATTTATCATTGTTCAATAATTTTAACTGTTGATAAATGGTGGAACTGTTAGTGTAATCTGGAGCTTTCTTGACTCTACTGTAAATTTCCATTGAATGTTCTCTGTATGTGATTCAGACTCTCAGGAAAAGACTTTGTTACAGGCCATTTGTCTGCTTGTGCCTGTCAGCTTTATGCCGTTCCAGTTCAGAAGCCTACCAAAATGCCTTGGTTGTACTATGGTGGCTTGGAACAGTGCACAGATGCCTTGAGCACACTGTAATTCAAACACATGCATCCCAGCTCTTGTTTCAGAAGGTGCTCTACCTGCCAGGGTGTTTTAAAATAGCTTTAAAAGGGTTTTGTCAGGGTTTGCACTTTGGCATCGCATCATGGGGTATACACCTCAGAAGGCTCTACAGCCATTTCACCTGGGTCAGATGGCAAAACTTGCTCTGATGGCCCAGCACGATGGCTGCCACTGGTGCATTTCACAACATTCCATTAGCATGAAGGGTCGTGAAGTCACTGATGCAAAGACATTTGCTGCACCACCATTCCTGCTGTATGAGCTGGCAGCTTGTTTCTCTTCCTGAGTCAGCTTACCCTCTGCTGTTGTAATGTTAGCTGCATTAGAAGAATGTCCCTTGTGGTCTGTTCATGCCAGTTTGGGATCTGGGGTTTTGTTTTTTCATGACACCCTGGGCAAAGCTGGTAGCTTGAAGAGGAGATGGCACCTGAGACAGCAGCTCAAAGAGCAGCGTCTGCTGTACCTGCAGAGGAAGCAGCCCTTGTTGTAGCACCAGTGACAGCAAGGGGCAGTGGAAGAGTCCTTGGGCCACACAGGCTGAGGCAGAAATGATGGGAAGCAGGAGGAGAGGATGCAACAAGGAACAACAAAAAGGCAGAGGAGGCAGAGCACTGATGCTGAAGAAAGACAGAAGGCTGTGAGGATCCAGGGATGGAAAAGGGTGGGATCTACCTCCATGGAAGGGTTTGAGGAGTCTGGAAGGGCCAAAGGTCTTGGCATTCTAGGTCTTGCACCTGTGACAAGAGCCCCTCTCAGGGGCCAAGGGTCCCAACAGTGTAGATCCTAGAACATGGATGCTAGGCTCAAGGACCTGAGCGTTCTAAGGAAGAAATGTAAAATTTGGGAGTGCTCCTTACTTCTGCTCCACTCTGTTGCTGGATATCAGGGATTGTAAAGGCTCAAATGTCCCACAGACACTGGTCATTAAATCCTTGAGGAATAAATCTCCAGGGAAAGTTTTGGCAGCCAAGAGTCTCTGGATTATTAATCATAACAGAGAATTTAGTGCTATTTTTCTGTTTAGTGGAAACTATTTTACACTTCCCTCTAATATTTCTTTATATCCATACATTAGTTCTTCTCTCAACACTCACAAGAAAGCTGCCTTTTGAAGTAGATGACAATGAACAGCAGAACCTCTAGTGGTCAATATGAAGAGAATAAGAGATTTGGAGTTCCCAAGCCCACAGAACGAATAATATAAAATATGAATCTGTCCATTCCAAGTCTCAGAAACCATCAGTGAAGAAGGAAAGGAACAATTTTAAGAGTCAGGAGTGATGGTGATGGATGTTTGTCAGGAAATTCCATTTGCAGGGCATGACAGAACTATTGCCCACATGAATTCCATTGCATTTGTGCCCACATGCACAACACATACACAAGATCAAGCAAGGTAAAAGCTTAGCATGTTTTAGCAAGCAATTCAGGAATTTACAAGCCTAACTGAGGAGCTCTTAGCAAGTGATTTTTATTGGGGAAGAACCCAGCCTCGTAAGGGATTTGGCTCCTGAGAAGTGACCAAGTGCCAATCGACATTTATTTATTTATTTATTCATTCATTCATTTATTTATTCATTTATTATTTATTTAAAAGTTCCACCTCCTCCTATCCTCCCATCATCTCATTTCCCTCCCATTCCCCCCACTCCTCCTACCCCTTGTTCTCCAGTCCTAAGAGAAGTCAGGGTGCCCTGCCTTGTGGGAAGTCCAAGCACCCCCCATCTTTGGAAGGTGTGCATCCAAACAGACTAGGCTCCCAAAAGGCCAGTACATGCAGTAGAATCAAAATCCAGTGCCATTATCTTTGCCTTCTCAGACTGTCCTCATTGTCAGACACATTCAGAGAGTCCAGTTTTATCACAAGTTCATTCAGATCCAGTCTAGTTGGCCTTGATGAGCTCCCACTAGATCAGTTTTACAGTCTCCTTGGGTGGACACATACCTCACGGTTCTGGCTTCCTTTCTTATATTCTCTCTCCTTCTGCTCTTCATCTGGGCTTTGGGAGCACAGTCCAGTGATGCAATGTGGGTCTCTGTCTCTATCTCCATCCCTCGCCAGATGAAGGTTCTATGGTGATATGCAAGATAGTCATCAGCGTGTTTATGAGAGAAAGCCAATTCAGGCACCCTCTCCTCAGCTGTCCACGGACCTAGTTGAGGAAATGCCCTTGACACCTGGGAACCCTCTAGAGCCAAGACGCTAGCCATCACTAAAATGGCTCCTTTAGTTAAGATATCCTCTTCCCTGATCCCATATCTACCCTTCCTCCATCTCAATTATCCCATTCCCCCAAGCTTTCCCCAGTTCCCGATCCCCTTTCTCTCTCCCCATTTCCCCTTTCCACCAACTAACCCCAACTCTCCTGCTCCCAACTTTTCCCCAGTGATCTTTTCTGCTTCCAATATCCAGGAGGAAAACTATATGTGTTTCTTTGCATTTACCTTCTTTTTTTTCCCAAAGTTTATTAAATTATGAAAGTTTCCATTTCCGCCCCTCCTCCCAACACCCTCCCACTCCCCCCTTCCCCTCCTCCTCCCTCTCCATCCCTAAGAGCAGTCAGGGCTTTCAGCCCTGTGGGAAGTTCAAGTTCCTCCCCCCTCCTTCCAGGTCCCTGAAGGTAAGTATCCGAACAGACTGGATCCCAAAAATCCAGTATATGCAGAGGAAACAAGTCCCAGTGTCATTGTCAGTGGCTTTTCAGAAAGGCTCCGGGTCAGCCACATTCAGAGAATCCGGCCACATTCAGAAAATCTGGTTGGATCACGTGCTCATTCAGTCCCAGCCCAACTGGCCTTGGTAAACTCTCATTAGATCAGTCCCCTTGTATCAGTGGGTGATCGCACCCCTCGCGGTCCTGAGTTTTTTTCATGTTCTTCCTCCTTCTGCCCCTCATTTGGACCATGGGGGGCTCAGGCCGGTGCTTCAACGTGGGTCTCCATCTGTATCGCCATCCATCGTCAGATGAAGGATCTATGGTGATAAGCAAAATCTTCATCAGTATGGTTATAGGCCAAAGCCGGTTCAGGCACCCTCTCCTCTGTCTAGAGAACAGTCTGGGGATCTCTCCTTTGACCTGGGATCCCATTTATAATCAAGTCTCCTGTAAACCCTAAAATGACTCCCTTAGTTGGAATATATTCTTCCCTGATCTCATATCCATCCTTCCTCCCTCCGCCCATCCCAGTCCACCTAGCTTTCCCCATTCCTCCCCTACTCCCTTCTCTCTAACCCTCTCCCCTTCCAACAACCCTCCCACCCCCTCATGCACCCTAAGTTACCTGGGACTCTTGTCTATTTCCAATCTCCAGGCAGATAGCTACATGATTTTCAACAGGTTCACCTTCTTATTTAGCTTCTCTAGGATCACGAATAATAGGCTCAAAGACCTTTAATTATGGTTAGAATCCACATATGAGTGAATACATACCATATTCCACTTTTTGGGTCTGGCTTACCTCACTCAGTAAAGCGTTTTCTATTTCCATCCATTTGCATGCAAAATTCAAGATGTCATTGTTTTTGGTTTTTTTTTAAAGTAAATTTTATTAAATTATAAAAGTTTCCATTTCCGCCCCTCTTCCCAACACCCTCCCACTCCCCCCACTCCCTCTCCTCCTCCGTCTTCTTTCCTTAGTGCAGTCAGGGTTTCCTGCCCTGTGGGAAGTTCCAGTTCCTCCCCCTTCCCTCCAGGTCCAGGAAGGTGAGTGTCCAAACAGTCTGGATCCCCAAAATTCAGTATATGCAGAGGAAACAGGTCCCAGTATCATAGTCAATGGCTTTTCAGGAAGACTTCGGGCCAGCCACATTCAGAGAATCCGGCCAAATTTCGAGAATCTGGTTAGATCACCTCCTCGTTCAGTCCCAGTCCAACTGGCCTTGGTAAACTCTCATTAGATCCGTTCCCTTTTATCAGTGGGTGATAGCATCCCTCGCAGTACTGATTTCGTTTTTCATGTTCTTCCTCCTTCTGCTCCTCATTTGGACCTCGGGGGGCTCAGTCCGGTGCTCCAATGTGGGTCTCCGACTGTATCGCCATCCTTCGCCAGATGAAGGATCTATGGTGATAAGCAAAATATACATCAGTATGGTTATGGGCCACGGCCGATTCAGGCACCCTCTCCTCTGTCCAGAGAACAATCTGGGGGATCTCTCCTTGGACCTGGGATCCCATATATAATCAAGTCTCCTGTAAACCCTAAAATGACTCCCTTAATTGAAATATATTCTTCCCTGATCCCATATTCATCCTTCCTCCCTCCCCCCCCATCCCAGGCCACCGAGCTTTCCCCGTTCCTCCCCTACTCCCTTCTCTCTAACCCTCTCCCCTTCCAACAACCCTCCCACACCCCCATGCACCCAAGGTTACCTGGAACTCTTGTCTATTTCCTACCTCCTGGTGGATAGCTAAATAATCTTCATCAGGTTCATCTTCTTATTTAGCTTCTCTAGGATCACGAATAATAGGCTCAAAGACCTTTAATTATGGTTAGAATCCACTTATGAGTGAATACATACCGTGTTCCTCTTTTTGGGTCTGGCTTACCTCACTCAGTAAAGCGT